CCCCCCCCCCCCCCCCCCCTTCCCGGCCTTAAAAAGAAAGGGTGCAAACACAAAGGGGGGGGGGGGAAACTTGAACGTGTTAATTAAAAAAAGGTTAATTTCCTTTTGGGGGAACAGGGGAAAAAAAAAAAAGTTCCTCCACTTGGAAAAAAAAATTTGAAAGAAAAAGGGAAAAAAGCGGAACCAAATAAGTTTGAATTCCTTAAAAAAGCCTTGGGAAAACGGGGAAAATGGGAAAAAAGCGTTGAAAGCCAAACCCCAAAAAAAAATTTTTCCAAGGGTTTTTTAATAATAAAAGAAAAAACGTAAAAAAAAGGGGAAAATGGGGAAAATTTGGTTAAAAAAAAAACCTTGGGGGGGAAATTGAAATTTGGAAAAAATTTAAAAAAAACTAAAATTGGGTTTCCCTTGGGGAAAAGATTTGGGAAATTTAACAACCCCCCTTTTAAATTTCTTAGGGGTAAAAATTTTTCGAAAAGGAATTTAAACCCCGGGGGGGGGGGGGGGGGGGCGGGGGGCGTAGGTTGCGCCTTGCGCCTTGGCTGTTTGTTGTGTTGCCTCTGGCCTGCTGCTGGGCCGACATGTCCTCACAAGCGTGCGTTACAGGGAAAGGCATGGCGGTTTATTAATGGTGTGGGAGGGCGGGAGGGGGGGAGCAAGACGCAAAAGTCTCAGGAAATTCGCGCGTTAGTTATGGATTATGGTATTATAGTAGCTTCCCCACTGGCGATCACTTCTTGCGTGTCGTTGGAATTATATCGGCACCGAAGAAGTTGTTGGAATGGCGCGCCCAGTTTTCGGCGCCAGTTCTCTGTCTCTCGCTATTTAGTTGCTGATGATGGTTTTATTCCCATCAGTGCAGACGGTTATTGTTAGAAGTTTTGTTTTTTTGTAGAAAACGGCTGACAGCAGTAGTACCGCCTGCCTGGTTCTTAACGACGCGCCTTGGTTGCGTCTCGTGAAACGGTCATTTTAAGAGGCTTTTTCGATTTACGAAAGCGCTGACAACACAGTAGCGCCGCCTGCCTGGTTCCTTGTCGACTTGCCCTTGTTGTATCTCGCAAAAC